AAAGTCCTCCTACTCTGGGTGCCTGCTCACCAAGGGATAAAAGGCAATGAAAAAGCAAATGATCTAGCTAGGAAAGGAGCGAACACTCCACTAACTGGACCAGAACCGTTCTGTTTTCCAAACGGGAACCAACTGAAAGCGGAACTAAAGAATCTGGAAGACTCCATCCGTAACTTGGAATGGGTATTTTCCAACGGTCTAAGTCACTCGAAAAAGTTCCTCAGAACTTTACGACCGAGAAAAATCAAAGGTTTTTCTTGATTTAAGTAAAAACAATCACAGTCACGGGGTTTCTAACAGGACACTGTCTCTTCATCGAACACCTCAACTAATACTTCAGTAGGCTGAAGCTGAAAAACAACGGCGAATGCAGATTCTGTGGGGAAAATGGGGAAACACCAGAACACCTTATCACTGAGTGCGCCGAGACGACGACCATTCGTGCCATGAACTTTGGTACGGCTGATGTCGAGGATGGAGAGCTGGCCTCTGTGGAGCCGTCTTAGATACTGGCTTTTGTTAAAGCCTTGAGACTGTATGATGAGTTATAACTTGTTATAACTCAAGAAAGGGGAACACACAATAGATCTGTAAGGTCGCGGTGATTTGGTTTGCCCTGATTTGGTTGGTTTTATAACTCCCCTCATAAACATTCTACATTCTGCAAGGGTGTATTATACGATACAGTATGAAACGAAACATCTTTTTCAACGACGATTTTAAAAATTAATTGTTAAGAATAACCATAAAAAAATGTCTATATTTCTGTGGTAAATTCGTCTCTCCGCTAAAAAAAGTTGAACATCCTTCAAAACACAAAATACACTTACATCTATTATAAACCACGCTAAACCAATGAACACTGAACAGCAAACAAAAAATATAATATACAAAGTACCATGTGAATGTGATGAAATTTTATATTGGTGAAACATCTAGACCCTTAAATGTTCGAATTAATGAAAGATTATTAAAGAAAGGGCGATTTTCACAGACCTGACAAATTTTGTTAGCATTCATGGGATACAAGGCACGGAATAGATTTTAACTGTGCAAAAATTATTATGAAAGAAGCGATAGCCTAAACGAAAAATAAAAGAAGATTTTTTTATACAGTCTAATAGTAAATGTATTGCTCAGGGATATGTAGAGGTTAGTAACGTATGGCAATCGCTTCTTTGTTTTTAATAAACATATAAGTAATAAACATAACAATAAGTAAAAATTAAAAACAAATAAAAAATAATCATACAGAAAGCTTGAACCTTTGTGGTTTTACCTCATTAAGTAATTGTTATCAGGTAGTAGTTGTTAATTTTGAAGTTTAACTTGATATAATGCCATTTTAACAGAACGTCAACGGTTTTTATAAACGTATATGTTAAAAAAAACGAAAGTGTTCTTGAATAGTTGTATTTAGATATTTTAAATAGTTTTCTTCTTTGTTCTTAGTGTTTTTTTTTGCTTCCGACGACGGAAAGAGATAGACTCTTCGAAATGTTAAGCATTTTTGTTTGTTTGTTTATTAGTAAAGCAACTTGGCAAATTAAGTAAGGCAAATTTGTTTATTAGTAAATCATTATTGGCAAGCTGGTCTTCGTTGAATTATCGCAGCAGTGTTTACAAAGAATAAATATTTTATTTTGTAAATTTTCTTAAGTGGCAAAATACCCACAAAACTTTTTTGAAGGCATAAAAATATATCTACATACCAGTAATATTACTACAGTAGTGGTACTTACATCTTAGCAATAAAACAGGCTACAAAACAATAACACATCCTTCACAAATATTATTATTACCGTGGTGTAATTCATATGGCGTGTCTTAAAATTTCCTCAGCATATGAAGTCGTGTATTACATGACTTTAAAAGAATTTAGTTGCCGAATTTTGTAACATGTCGACTTATGAGTGGCAGACAAAGTTATGGTACGCGATGGGAAATATTTTCCTGGGTAAAATCACGCAATTACCAGTACTTTCTGAAGTACCTACCGTTACCAATATGCTCCCCAATTAGATCGTTACAATTTCAAATTATTGAATAACTAGTTTCGGTTAATTATTCTTTTGAATAATAAGTGATTATTGACAGAGGCGTAGTAAGCAAATAACAGACTGATAGAACAAATTATTTATTATTATTATCAAATTCGTTGATAATGCAAATATATCTTTTAAAAAATGGGTATTTAGCCACCTTAAATAGCAGTCTAAAAAGTAGTGCGTAGAATCCAAATGCGGAAACTAGCTTTTAAGTGGTTTTTTACTTGTAAATTGGCCAAGCCAAAAAACATGCTTGACATTTCAGGGTGCATATCTCCTCCCTTTGTCGCGTCGTAAGAAAAAAAACGAATAAAGAAAACCTATTTCAATTAGCAAATATCGACACTATTCATACTGTATTGTTTTGTGCAACTATGTGTGAACATATACAGGGTGGCCCATTAGTGCTAAGAAGTCCAATATCGTCGTTGTTGTAGAAAATATGAAAAACGTTTTATACAGATGTTGCATTGGTTTTAAATATCTTTAAGTTTTAGTTTTTTTTAAATTGCACCCCCTATATTTCTGTAAATAATTGGATTCGGCATAAAATTCTGCATATGTTACACTATTTTTACTTGTAATGCAGTACTGCCATTTTATTTCTTCCTCTAAAATTTTTGTTAAAAACATTATCTCCGAAAAGTGGTTAAAAACTAACTATCGAGAAAATATGTACCTAGATGATTAAATTATTATTAATTCCTTCGCTTTGTTAACATATTCCACGGGGTGTTTCAAAGATTCACCAAAATATTTTGTTTTCCCTCGTATAATTCAGAGACGGGGACTTTCATTGAAAATTCCACAGCTGTAATTTTTAACCAATCAAAACGTGTTTTTTTGAAAAATCACCATGGCAACGGATAAATTTTAGTGAAAAATTTTTCCTTGTGGGCACCCAACAGCGATTTATACTGGAAATTTTTTGACGTTTATAATGACAGAATATCTTTATGAAAGTCTGGTTTTTATTTGCTTACATGATAATTTTGATACATTTCAATTACAAATCTGATGAAACTTTGTAAACTGCTTCCATACGCTTGACTTCGATTTCCTAGTATTCGCGGGTGTCAACTGATTAATCTCCTGGCGAATATTTTCTTTGCTTTCATGACCCAAGCGAAACATTTTTTTTAAGCCGTGCCGCTTGACAGATTCAAAACTGAAATAGTTTTTAGCTTTGGTTTTTAGGGTTTGAGTGTCACTTAGTTGTCATAGTAACTAAATAATCATTTCGACCAAAAATCGAAAAATACATTTAAATTATTTGATTTTCAAACACAATTTGGTGTGAAATTTTCTTACCGAATACCACACGAGGTCAAATTAAATCCGATCATTTTTTTCCGAAATAATTTGACCTCTAGTGGTATTACTAGTGATAATTTAGAAAGAAGAAAGAAGTACTAAAAAGTCAAATAATTTAGGTACCTACAAATTGCTTAAAAAATCATCAAAATCGACGCACTAAAACAAAATACAGTGTGGTCCAAACTGTATTCCGGAAACTTCGGCTGCAGATTATGCAGATAAAAATAAGTAAAAAAGTTCGTATAAATGTATGTCCTAAAATGCTTAGTTTCGGAGACACAGGGTGTAGAAGTTTCATTTTTATTTCGATTTTTTCCAAATAATTTCTTAAGTAACGTCAATGTCTGGTTGAAAATCGGCGTCTGCAAGTTTTTTAACATGAGAAATTTGATTTTGATGTCAATATGAATTTGTAGGGGGCGCCACCTACATGTCTTTTAAATGTTTTAAAAAGTAATAACTTTTCGTCCGTACCTGCAGAAGATTACTGAGTGAAAAAATATACATTACCGTTATTTTTAACGTAGAAAATGTCTCTGGGTAAAAATCGCTACCAGCAACCGTTTTTAAGTTATTTCAAATGGAAACAGTCAATACATCTCATTATTGACTAAAAAATAAACACGTTGAGTAGATTGTTATTTGACTGAAATAATAAATTTGGGAAATTTTTATTTTTTTAAATGAATCATAAATTCTTCTGCGGAAAAATGATGATAAAACCGTTTCTGTTGAACTTTTGACACAAAAACATTTCATATTTATGATTTCAGTCTAATAACTCTGTTTGCTAAATTAACATGTGTAATTTATATCAATGACAAAGGTATTGATAATTTCGATTCCAAATATCTCGAGAACCATTACTCGTAGCGATTTTTACCAAGAGTCGTTTTTTACGTAAAAATCGTCGTAAATGTATATTTTTTACTCGGTAGTTTTATACAGGTACGGACGAAAATTTATTACTCTTCAAAACTAGGAGTCATATTAACATCAAAATCAAATTTCTAATATGAAGACACTTCCAGACACCAATTTTCATTCAAATATTGACGTTACTTAAAAAATTATTTGGAAAAAAAATAAAAATGAAACTTTTACACCCTGTATCTCCGAAACTAAATATTTTAGGACATGTGGCATGTCATTTATACGAACTTTTGTACTTATTTTTATCTGCAGAATATGCTGCCAAGTTTCCGGAATATAGTTCGAACTACCCTGTATAAATATCAAACTTTAAAATACCTATATCAAAATTGTAAGGTACCCGTTTCTCGTGCGGGTGAGTGTAGTTTCCAAGATCACTATGGGAAATTTAGGATAACTTATTAATTCCGTTTTAACTCGATATTCAATATAAACCCGCCCCTGTATCGCAAAGAGATGCTAACAACGAATCTGTTGCAAGTGCATATTCTCGTAATTGGAAATCGGCTTTGTTTTGATTTTATCCGCATACTAAGGTATTGAGACAGAGCGGGCGGCCTATAAGCTGCTGTAGCATTGAAAAACTCTTTTTTCCGCAATTAGGCACCGCCGTATTGCACGATACTCAAGGGGGGGTGGGGGTTGCATACACACACGCACACACGTACCGCGGGTAGCACGGCTTTTTGCCACGAACCCGCTATAAAAGAGTGGGTCGGGGGTCCGAAAGGCAACAGTCGTTCTTTGGGCGATCCGACCAAAAAATGAAACTCCAAGTAAGTGTAGATTTGTTGATATGGTCTATTTGCGATCGAGTGTTCTTTTTTTCGATGGTGGTGCGTTTAGCAGTGATCGTGGAAACCGGTTAGATGTAAACAAATCGGTTTGAAAGGAATGGTACACTTTACCTAAATTTTAATGAGAAGTGCATTTAAATTTTCAGGGAAATAGTTGAAAAAGTAATATGTTTTGGTGGTTTAATTTATAAAAATTCATTTTCTTAAATTTGAGATTTTTTCATCTGATATTATTAATTTGATTGAAAATATTTTTTCTTTCAGTTCATCTATTATTATTACTATTAAATAGTATTATTCTATTTTAATATTACTCTTCCTTTATTTTAATAAATAAATAAAAAATTAAGATAACTAAATTATTAAAAAATTAAAGGATTTTAAAAACTAATATCAGAAAGTGTATTTAAACTTTAAGGAAAATTATAAAAATAAATGATAAATTAATTTTTTAATTTAATTTTAGATTTGTTTGTCAACTTTAAATGAATGATTAATAAATTTACAATATTAAAAATATTAATTTTATAAAAAAAACTGAAAAAAAATATTAAAAAAAGTTTATTATTATGGATTGACATAATTAATTTAGACCTAAAAATTAAATCAAAATGTAAAATAATGAACAAATGATATTGATAAAAAAAAATTTTAAAATTAAGAAAAAAAAATATTGTATTAATGTTAAATTTACAATATCAAAAATATTAATTTTATAAAAAAAACTGAAAAAATATCTATTACTAAAATAAATGTTATTATTAAAGATTAAATCATAATATTAATTTACGCTTATTAAATAAATAAAAATGTAATTCATGAAAAATGTTAAAATTTCTAAAAATTAAGAAAAAAATATTGTTTTTTCTTAAAAATAATTACATATATTTAAATTTTTAGATAATTAATAATTATAGTTTCCTTAAAATTTAAAAAATAATATTCTATAATTGAATAACATTTGAATTTATTGATTGAATATATCAACAAATAAAAATAAGTGTAACAGAACGTTTAAATTATCAGAAAAATAATCGGTTTTATTTATATTTTGTAAAGAATAATTTTAAACTTTTAACAATTTTTTAAATATTTATTTATTAATCTGTATTTCTGATGAAAAAAATTGGAATATAAAATTGTTTAGCCTACATAACTACAAAAATAATTTCTCGTTAAAACGTCAAAAATGAACAATACTAATTAATTAAAGAATATTCTTAGAGTAATAAAATATTACTTTATAATAAAATAGGTCACTTTAGAATAAAATATTACTTTATAATAAAATAGGACATTTTTTTGCTGTTCGTTAAATAAAATAATTTTTAATCTTATTAATTACGATATAAATACTTATTTTTATTTATATTAAATATATTTTCAAAATTTATTTCCAAAAAATATATTTTCAAAAAAAAATTAATTGTAAATTTGGTTTTTATTTTCATATTTTTTATTATTTTTGATATCTGAATCAATTATATTTTTAAAATATTACATCAATTTATAAGAAGAGAAACAATTTTTAAACGAGCATTTGCTTAAAGAATCATAGTTTTTTACTAGTAATTGTCATTGTCAAATAAAAAAATTAAAATTCTTAATGAATACACATTTTAAAGAAATTCTTAAAACTTCCCTTTTGAAAAAAAAAATTCTAATAGCGTATGATTTAATAAAAGACAGCATCACATTGTTCTCGGTAATCACAATAATTATTTTGTTAGGGTCAAACTTTATACAGGGTGAGTCATAAATAATTGCAAATATTTTCAGGGCTGGTAGATCTTGATAAAATAAACATATTTTCTTCTCACTATTTTTTTGCTTAAATTTTGAGAACCACTGGATCTTTTCAGGGTTTTCTTTCTTGAAAATTTAATCTACTACCTATGTCGCCATATTATCAAGAAATTATGTTTTCTTTGTTAAAAACTGAAAAAAGTTCAAGTTTTTTCAAAAAATTCCAAGCCTTCAATTTTTTTTTGCGAAAAAAACATAATCGTGTTTCTGGAGTCGAAATCTATTACCCCTAAAAATATTTGCTTATTTAAGACTCACCCTGTATAAGTTATTTAGTAAAAATTGACATCTAAAATATGTCACAAATTAATATTTAATTTAGAAAAAAGTATCCAGACAAATCGATTTTCAAGAAATAATTTTTACTGAATATAATTAATAAATTAATTGTGTGAATGATTCGCCTGTCCTAAACAATTTTTTTTTCATTGAAATATTAATTTTTGACTAGTTTTTAGAGCAATAATACAAACTATATAACGTCATAGAGGTCTATCCGACAGCAAATTATTACAAATTGTCCCTGTAAAGGTCACCTTGATCATTGAGCTTACTAAAAGTGTTATGGTCAAGTGTATTAATATTTGAGAAAATGATGCTAGATTTTTAAAGTATCAGCATTGAAAGAACTGTGAAGATACTACGTCTCAAGTGCTGTACGGTGGAGCCCCTACTCATTCTGCGGCCAACACATAAAACACTCATTTTCTCTAATTCGGCTAGCGAAGGCATATCGAAGACGGTGTAGAAGCGACAGTGTTGCCATATTAAAATGTGTAAGATCTGTAATACATTTGACGAAAACATTTTAGGATGAAAATCTGTGTTTATGTATTGAAAATGTATTCCTGTAAAACATAGAATAAACAACAAAAATAAAAAGTCTTTTATAAGTACTTAATATTTTGTATGACCGAAAAAAGCATTTATTTGGCTGGGAAATGACGACTATTGACATTTATCCAAATATTTTACATATGAAATAATAGCGATCTTCATTTCGAATCCAACTCTGACGTCCATCTTTGTTTAACCGTATAATATATTAAATTATTTGATGATGGAAAATCCGTATTATTAATGTGCTGTACCCAAAATTCGTAAATCTACGGATTAATCCGTAGTTCTAGCTACACTGTCTCGTGTTAAACAACGACTATCAGAGCCCAGCGGTGCCGAGCTAAACTAAATCTCGGACATATAACGGTAACGCCAGCTACATCTCTGACATATTTTGTGGCACGAAATCGCCCATAAGGTTGCGCACCTTCTTATTCCCTCTATCAACGATAATACTAACAGCTTATTCTTTTTTTTCCAGAGCCTCTCGCTAGTGTTCTTCGCTCTCTTAGTCCTTGGCGCCGCCGCCAAGGAGAAGAAAGCCGAAGAACCGAAACCGGCCGAATCCCAAAAGACGAAAACCGCCGAAAAGAAACAGGGCAAAAGAGGGCTCTTCGACCTCGGCTACGGAGGCGGTGAATTCGGCGGACACGAAGGCCTTGAACTTGGAGGCGGCGGATTCGAAGGCGGTTATGGCGGAGGCGGCTTCGAAGAAAGCCATCACAAAACCATCACCATCACCAAGACCATTCCCGTACCCGTACCCAAACCTTACCCAGTTTACCACGAAAAGAAAGTGCCTGTACCTTACCCAGTCAAAGTTGCCGTCCCTGTCGACAGGCCATACCCAGTTCACGTACCCAAACCTTACCCAGTACCGGTAGAGAAGCCTGTACCTTACCCAGTCGAGAAACCCGTACCTTACCCTGTTAAAGTTCCTGTCAAGGTACCTTACCCCGTTCCCCATCCAGTCCCAGTACCAAAACCTGTACCATACCCTGTACATAAGCCTGTACCTTACCCAGTTAAAGTTCCAGTCTACGTAGAAAAGCATGTTCCAGTATTCATCAAGGGACACGAAGGTGGTGGTTTTGAAGGGGGTTTCGGAGGTGGCTTGGAAGGTCACGAGTTTGGAGGACATCATTTTTAATGGAAGATCGACTGAGGTCTGAAAAAGCGTCTTTTTTCACCATCTCGTACATTTTCGTACTTCATCATCTCATCTTGAACTAATTTATGTTGTTTTTAATTTATACCTATTTTTATTTTTCTTTAAATAAAAAACATATTTTCTTAAAACCGATAGTTTCATTTCAGATAACCTTTTAGGAATTAATAAAAATAATTTTAACAAAATTCATGACTTAACTTAGCATTAATATAATTAAGAATGTGTTTATAGAACGTTTTTAGAGTCATGATTAAATATGTGTATGTATTTCAAACTGTTCGACTAACTAACAAAAAAAACTAACAATGCCAAACATACAACTAGTTTCGGAAAATTCGAGAAGCTTTACCATACTAACACCCTTCAAAATACAAAATAATGCATTTTTTACTAATACAACCAACACTGAAAAATACAAACAAAAAGTATCTGTGCCTAAATGGTTGAAATAAAAAGAAAATAACAAGAAAAAGATACAACCAAGCAAACGACAAAATGAAAATATTAAACCCGAAAATAATAAATAAAGAGGGCTTTTCCAATGCAAGCAATTATAAATAAATGTATGGCTATCATTAACGCACAACATAAATCTTAGTAAAAATAATATGTATTCCTTTTTTATAGAGTCAATTATATTATTTTTGGTCTTATCATATAGTAACTGTTAATTCCAAATTTGAATTTATGTAATGACAGTTATGTATCGGAGTTTTATATTATAAAAGTTTAGAAAACAAGCTATGGAAACAAGTAAAGAACAACTGAGGAGTTGTTTTGCATTTTAAGCCAGTAGGTAGCTTTTTTTAATTTATTTCTATTAGGCTTGGTCGATATATTTTATTGGTGTGTTAGTAATTGAATATATTTATTATTAAGAATTAATATAAAAAACGTATATTGGTTGTAACAAATTTATAAAAATAGCCAGAGTCACCATCATTATCATTTTCCGCTTATTCAACCATTTCCAATTAAGGTGTAGCCTCCCTCACATATTTAGATATTTTCTTTGTAGTTGGGCCCATTGGTTGTCTATTGTTGGCTATGCGGGTCCAAGTTATCCCTGCTAATTTCCTAATATCATGGTCCCATCTCAGGGTTCGGTCTTCTTCTAGGTCTCTTAATTCCTCGTGGATACAATGCTGTAATTTTTGTGGTCCATCTGTTGTCCGTCCTTCTTGCCAGGTGTCCTGCCCATTGCCATTTGAGGAATTTGACTCTGTGGGTGATATTTATTACTTGGGTCTTTTGTCGTATCCACTCTATTCTTTTACGGTCTTTTACGCTCTATTCTTTTACGGTCTCTTGGTTATTCCCAGCATATTTCAATCCATTGAATGTTGTGCAACCTGCACATTCCTTATGATGTCCGTTTTAAGTGTCCAGGTTTCGCATGCATAGGTCAAGACAGTATGTTGGACAAAAATTATATTATTTAATATAGTTAATATTTCAAGTTTTAACAATTAAAAACCCGTAAACTGAAATATTTGTATCTAAGAACAAAAGAAAAAAAATACACAAGTGTGATAATAGGCATTTCATTTTTTTATTGTTTTTTAGTAATTAGCAGTTACTCTAGTGTTGTAAGATATTAATTAAAACTAACCAAACACAGATGTCGTTACGTTAAATACTCCTGCCGTTTTGTAATATCTCAGTGGGTATACTTTCCACTCAATGGGTTGCGATTTATGTAATTTCCTAATAACGGCCAAAGCAGGCGTTGAAATATAATAACATACTAAGAAAACTCAGTCAGTGTGAATAAAAAGGATCAAATATTTAGATAGTTCACTTGTGTGTCATTTATGCAACTACAGCATGAATAGGTGGCGCAATTGTGTCCATGGATTCTACTCTACAGGGTCCGGCAATAGTGCGTCCTAGAATAAAAAAAAACTTGGGTATATTGGTTAAGTGCAAACCTAAAGTATACTAGGATGTATTTCAGGAACATATTTTAACTTTTACAGGGTAACTCAAAAAAGTGTGAGTGGATTGGGATGATTTTTTTTAATGAAGCACCCTGTATATTATTGCATTTTTGGCTTCCTTTCTGGTTACTTTACATATTTCTAAGATATGAGTAAATATATTTTGATAGTTTCAGAGATATTAATAAGTAAATAAAAAATATATATTTTTCAGACTTTCTTAAAAAAATATTACAAATGCACGAACAGTCCTCAAATCAAAACTATATTAGGTATTTAGTTTAGATGGTCTATACTTACTGTGTTATAAATATCGTAATCTTAAATCTTACAGGGTGTTCGAAATTCTTCCACAAACTTTCTAAAATATAAAATAAATTTTCTTCGTTTTTTTTTAAAGGCAACACTATAGAGGGGGAATTAAAAAATGAAGATTTTTTGTATTTAGAGTATTTCAAAATTTTTAACGGTTTTGCAGATACTCGCGGTAATATTTGGTATGGCTCTTTCAACGGTAAAATACGAGAGAAAAATCACTAAATGGAATAAAATTTCGTATGGCTTTCAACAGTAAAATACGAATGAAAAATCACAAGACAAAAAAGTCAGCGGATATATACAGGGTGGCGCACATCATTCGCCTCGGTTGATTATACGAAAACGGAGAGATGTTGAAGCAAAATATTTTATGGGTATATGTGGGGAGGGAATGTGCACAATTTAAAATTATTTTGAAATGTACATGGTGTTTCAGAACTAAGATCCATACCAAAGTTATATTTTTTCTTATGGAACACCCGGTATTTTATTTTATTTTTGGATTCTTGGACCCAAAAAAAGATATTTATTATAAGGGTTATATGGTTAAAATCTTTGGTTTTTGAGATATTTAAGGATATTTAAAAATGCATGCTACAATGGAATAGATTATTAACACCCTGTACATTGCCGTTCAGAACTAATTCCTGCGCTGACTTTTAAGCCAGAGAAATAACTTTACTGAAAAGTTTGATTGCTTCGTTTAATGTATACAGGGGTATCAAAAATTGCTGGTCTATTTTAGATATTTATTTTACATAAAAACTTCGTTATTTCAAATACAACACCCTGTATTTTTTAAATAAATCCAAGCAGATTCAAATGTTCTTTCAAACTGTATTAGGGTTTCCTATACCTATCTAGCTCAGATTTTGAATAAAAAACAAATTTTCATTAAAATGGCAATCAAGATGGCTGGTGTCGCCATGGCAATTTTCTAGTTAAAGTTAGTAAGTCTTTTCAAAATCGATATTAGTTTATGGACATTATTATTTAGATTTTTTTTTACTTAAATTTAGCTACAGTAGTTTAATAAGTAAGTATTCATTATATTATTTTTATTTTTATTTTTTTGTTCTTTGACATTGTAAACATTTATAAATGTTTATTTTAAACAATAAGACTGACAATATTATTTGTATAATGTTTTGTATTATCTTTTGTTTGTTTGTTTGTGTACCTTGTTTTTTTACTTTGTTTGTTTAGTTTACCTTTGTCTACAAATTGAAAAAAATGTTGACAATAAAGTCATTTATTTATTCATATTTATTTATTTATTTATTTTATCAAGAAAAATAAAGCAGTATCTGCTGGTGGAACGAATGGATATGTTACCAGTGATTTTATTTTGTGGGGAAAATTGCTTCTTAGCCTCAAGGGCTTATGCTCAAGGATATCCAAATAGGAATTTTCCTGATAAGCTTTCCTTGAAAAAATACTTTTCTATTTCGCAGAACTATGGTAGTGTGGTTTATAAAAACCTAGTAGGCAGAGGTACGTGGTTTATAAAAACCTGTCGTTAGAAAATGAATTTGCCGTAATTTGCTCTTTTATAGAAAATCCATATAGGTACTTATTTACAAGTGAACGTAAAATAAATGAAAGAACTACATCTTCGTTTTTCTTGATAGAATAATAAATACATATTTAATAAATATTATTTAAAAAACTACTGTGAGCAAATTATACAAAAATAAACTGCTATAAATTTAAATAAAGTCCATAAACTAATTTTGATTTTCAAAATAGCTATCTGTCACTAGAAACTTGACATCAGCCATCTTGGTTGCCATTTTATTGAAAAATTGCTCTTTATTCAAAATCTGAGCTAGATAGGTATAGGAAACCCTAATATAGTTTGAAAGAGCATTTAAACCTGCTTCGATATATTTAGAAAAATACAGGGTGTTGTATTTGAAATAAGGAAGTTTTTATGTAAAATAAATATTTAAAATAGACCAGCAATTTTTGATACCCCTGTATACATTAAACAAAGCAATCAAAATTTCCAGTAAAGTTTATTTCTCTGGCTTAAAGGTCAGCACAACAATTAACTCTGAAAAGCAATGTACAGGGTGTTAATAATCTATTCTATTGTAGCCTGCATTTTTAAATATCTTTAAATATCTCAAAAACCAAAGATTTTAAACATATTTAATCTTTATAACAAATACCTTTTTTTGGACCCAAGAATCCAAAAATGAAATAAAATATAGGGTGTTCCATAAGAAAAAATATAACTTTGGTAGGTATCTTAGTTCTGAAACACCCTGTACATTTCAAAATAATTTTAAATTGTGCACATTGCCACCCCACATATACTCATAGCATGTTTTGTTGCTCCATCTTTCCGTTTTTGTATAATCAACCGAGGCGAATGAGGTGCGCCACCCTGTATATATATTTTTTTTCAGAAAAATATTCCAGTGATAACCCATGTGCACGTCCCTGGTGAATATGTCACCACCTTTTTAGCATTAAAATATGTTGCACTCATAGAAATTTTTACCCTCCAAATTTCATTCAAATCGCTACAAGCACTTGGAAGAAAATTATAATAAATCGAAAAAAGATGAAGACTTGAAGACTAACCTTGTAAAACAAGACTAACCTTGTGAAACAAAGCAGAATCGGATCTATGTTAATACGAAAAATAAATCTTATTTTTACGAGAGGAATTTCCCCGCGATATATGGCAAATGCTTTTTGAAACACCCT